CAGCTTATTATTAATTAATATTTGATAATTTTAAAAGTTTGAAATCTCTGAGCCTTTACAAATTATGCAATGACCAAATTATATAGAACAGGTAAAAGAAATATATGACTCATTTATTGAAGATATTTATGTTACATTCGCCTCAAGTACAAATTAATTCATATCAGTTTCAAAATGTTTATCACAAAATCAGATCTTTGTGATTTGATCTTAAATATTATTTTACTACGTACATATTGTTACATCTTATAATAAAATATCAAGCTTGCGGATATTAGGATTTGGAAAACGTATATTCCTTGTTTGTCTTTCTCATTTTTATTTAAAAGTAAATTAAATCTTTTATATGAATTCCTCAGAATTAAACTTCTTGAAACACATAGATCTTTTGTGTATTCATTTTAAAATAGGTGTATCTTAAGGAATACATTTATTAATGTATGTACGGTGTTTGTCTATGTATTTTGTAACATGAAGGAGGTATATGCTCATATTATGTTTTATTATAAATAAAATACTGGTTTATGTTAGCACATTATTTATATGTTGTATAACTTACGTGCATAATAATTTTAACAGAGCGATATCTCATTCAGGACCATCGCAATGTCATATACGACGCGTATGTGTATCTTACATTACATAATATGTTATATTTTTAATAACATATTCAATCATTTATTTTTACTGAATAAATTAAATTTTTTTTCTTCCAATAGTTCGAATATTTGTGCATCGTGACATAGTATACTTCCCGCATAATCTTTAGATATGATAGAAGAATTATCTGATATAATTATTAATTATATTGTAGAAGAATTATGACATAATGTTTTGTTTGAAATACTAAGAGATTCTTATAGTTGTCTTATAGTTGTATTTATCTCATAAACAGAGACTCGAATTAGGAATAAATCAAAAGCATAGCCGAACCAAATAAAAATATATAACTCGCGTCGATCTATTCCGATTAAGTCATCAATTAATGATGAAATATAAAGAAACTAAATGTATGTGTTCTGAGTAACAAAATGAAAAATCTTGGTAATCATCGTAACATTAATTTACACAGATTTTGAGGTTTTATATATAATTATACATTCGAAAATTGTACAAAATTTTTTTACAAGAAAGCAAAATACGTTAATTTTTGTATTATATTCTGTATATGTCATAAAATCTTGTATTATAGCATCATTTAATCTCAGTTCATCGATCAATTTTATTAACAGTTTTCGTATAAAATAATGTATCCTATATTTTAAATATATATCTCTCTTTGAAGACGCATATATGTCTGGATTCATCATATTAAAATTATATGGTGAAAGGAGGCGGGAACAGAACGAGTAATACAAGTTAAAGAGAGATATATATGAGAAAAGAAAATTTGTGTAACTAATTTAATAAATGAATTTAATATGTATTCATTGCACTGATTCTTTCAAAATATTCATCATTTCTGAAGAAATTTCTCTTTCTTATCTTCTCTATGAGAATTTGACTGTGTTGTGAATGTACAATATCAAATGACAATACTTTTAAGACCGTAGAAAAGCGTTTTGTTAAAAATATATATTTTCCGAATCATGTAATTCTGCCAATTGCATATTGTGTATATATATATATATATATATA